AAATTCCTGGGTGAGAGAGATCGCTGATACTTGCTGACGATTTACTAGCGTTCTGCGTCCCAAGCCTCAGTCCATCCCCGAGAGTTCTCAGCTCAAGGATCTGCTGAGGGCCGTGTGATCTCAGACGAGTCGCCCACCCTCTCTGGGCCTCCATTTCCCGGGAAGTGGAAAGGAAGTAGAAGGGTCATGATTTTCCCTTTGCCTTGTCACAGGGAGTGCATCCGGCAGGAACTCAATAAGCATCGTGTCCCCCGTCTCCTGGAGATCTGGGACCCCTGCCTCTGCTGCTCTGGGCTCCGCAGGCCACCCAGACTTCACCCTGGAGATGGCTGGGCCCTGGGGGAGCATCATGACACCCAGGCCTCTGGGGTTCTCCTCAAGGCTCTTTCAACACGCCTCCCGGGGCTGCCAGGCAGCACAGGGCTGTGGGGACCATTGGGGCTCAGCAGGGGGGGCGCGACTCTGTGCGGGGACCCAGCTGGGAGTGTTCTTCCAAGGAGCATGAACTACTCAAAACAAGCCAGAGAGAGCGACTAGGACCAGGCCTACTTAACAGGCCAGAACTGAGGCTCAGAGACAGCACTTGAAGCCACCAGACTGAATGAGCACAGATCGGGGGCCAGGGGCTGCCGAGGTCACGGTGCAGGGAGCAGGCAGGGAGGTAGGAGGCGAGCAGTGTTTCCAGGAAGTGGAAGGGACCCACGGTGTCACAGACTGTCATGGGTGAGAAGCGGGGCTCACGTCCCTGAGCATCACCCACAGGGCTGGTGTGTGTGGGACACACAGCGGGTCACCCACCAATACCTTAGCTGGAATACTGAGCCAGGGTGCACTTTGGGGCTCTTTGTGCCTGACCAATGGGAGAGGGGCAAGCACTTGCCCAGTGTCACCTAGCAGGCTGGGGACCTGCACCCAGGCCCTGGTCTGAAGGGTGCCCCTGTGCCACTCCCTGCCGTGGCTCGACGTGGCCTCTGCAGGCTCCAGCTGTGTGCGGCTGCAGATGGGTGAGGCTGGCGCTGTGAGCCGGCTCCCTGAGCGAGGCCTGCCCCGTGGCATGTTGTACTTGGCCTACAAGAGGGTTTGAGCTTTTTTAAAAAACATTCGAGCCAACATTTAAAAATTGGGAGAGTTTACAAAAATCCGTATTTTTGGCTTCTGCGGAGGGTCTGGCAGCTCCTGCCCACATTCCCACGTGGGAGCGCGGGAGTGGGAAACGGCTGCCCCCCAGAGGAGAGAGAGGCGCCGCCAACACCGAAGTCTGCCTACAGATGGGGAGACTGAGGCCCAGAGGATGGCAGGATTTGTCGAGGTCACCCTCGGACAGAATCCTGCGGTAGCTCTGGGGGTTGCCAGGCTGGCGGTGGGGGGCTTGTTGCTAATCCCACCCTGGCTGCTTCAGAGCCCCAGCCCCCCTCTCCGCAGATTCTCCCAGCAGACACTGGGGCAGAGGGTCCCTTCCCTGATGTCTGCCCCCCCAGGAAAGGCAGCACCATGAAAGCAGAGCACTTCCTCTGGTTTGTTCGCTAAGGCCCCTGGAAGAGGGCGACAGTAAGTGTTTGTTGAATGAATGAAAAAAGGCGAGGGGTTAGAAGGGTGTCCAACCCCGTGATTAAATGAAAAGGCTAGCTCTCTGCAGCAACTGCAGACCTTTAGAAGCTCTGTTCCCAAGATAACCCCTTTCATGTCCACCTTGTCACTCACAGCGTCCTTTGAAAAGTTCCCATCCTCCCTAGAGGAGGGATTGAGCTCAGAGAGGCTGAGCGCCTTGCCCGAGATCACACAGCCGACTAGGAGATGGTTCCGTAGACCTCACACCCACAGAGGGGGCTCCCTGGGCAATGCTCTGGGTAGCAGCCGGGCTCAGACGCCTCCAGGGTGGGGGCAGGCTCTGAGGAGGGGCTGGTGTGTGAGGGGAGCTGTGAGCGGGGCTGCTGCAGGTGGAGGGCAGGTGCCTCTGGCTGGGGATTCAGAGCAACCTCATTCATTCCAAGGTCTCCTCCGCCTGCCATAGGAGGTTCTGTGCCTGGCCCTGGGGCCACAGAGTGGCCTACACAGAGGGACCCTGCTTTCCAGGGGTCCTTTGTAGTGCAGGAGGTGGGGCCAGGTAGGGACAGGCAAATGACCAAAGATGGTGAGTCCAGAGAGAAGTCGGTAGGGGAGGGGCTACTTCAGATGAGGAAGGCCCAGCCATGCAAAGGCCCTGAGGCAGGAGTGAGCTGGGTGAGCTTGGGACCAGTGAGGTGGCCAGTGTGGCTGGTGTGTGCCAAATGCGGAGCTGAGTCAGGATTCACCAACCCCTCCCTGAGGCCTGACGGATGACACAGGGTTGCTGCCTTGGTGTCCCTGGACGAGAGCCTGGTCCCAAACCACTGCATAAACACCGCAGGGGTTGTCTCTTGGAGCCTCTGTTTTTGCATCTGTAAAGTGGGGGTTATAAGACCCACCTCGACGAATCTCAGTGAGGATTAAGGGATTGAGTTCCATAACTGGGTCAAAGGTGGATGGGCCTGTTTCTGACCCAGGGGGCCTCCTGCAGCTCAGAGACATGCCGGGGAATAAGGGACGGAGCAGGTTGCAGGAAGGAGGTGCTGGGGCCTCGGTGGTCAGGATGCTGAGAGTAGCGCTCAGGGTCTGGGAGGGACTGGCATTGGGGGGAGGGGACCGGCACAGGCAAAGAGAGCGAGGGAGGAGAGAGCAGGTGGGCTGAGGCAGGGATACATGGCACAGTCCCGTCTGACCAACAAGTAGGACTTATGTGATGTTGTTGGGAAATCAAGGTGATCGCTGGACTGGACCACCCACAGGGGACAAGGGGTGAGTTTAGGGCAGACAGTGATGAGGTCACAGGTGTATTGCAGGACTAAGCATCGAGCTATGACTATGGGGTGGGCTGGAGGGACAGTACCCAATGCAGGGATGGATTATCCCCCAGAGCACCCAGAGGGCCCACCTGTGTTCTGCCTGTGTCAGGAGAGCCTGGGGGTCCTGGAGGGGCCAGAGGGGTCCTGAGGGCATGTTCTGCCCCGTCATCTCACCCTGGAGACCCCAGACATCCCACAGGCCCCTCGTACTCATGGTCCCCACCCACCCTGCCCTCCTATAGTGGAGTCACCACCTCTGGCTGGAGACCAGGCAGGGCCCCAGTCTGCTCTGCCCAGCCCACAGGCAGCCCTCAGCGAGCCATTCCGGGCCCTGGCCTTGGTTTCCTCATCCGTACAAAGGGCATCCCGAGAACATCCCCAGATCTTGTGGTTTGACTGGCAGAGTCAAGGCTTGAACGTGGGTCTTTGGCCCCAACACCAAGACCACTGTCAAAAGCACAGCACCACCCCAGAGGGCTGCTCCCCCCACACAACCACACTGCTCATCAGCACACATCCAGAGCTTTATGTGCCCCCATCCATCTGGGTGAGCTGCTGGCCTAGCCCCAGGACGCATAGGGAAAAGACAGGCCCTGCTCCAGGGAGTGTACATGTGGTGTGAGGCCTTAACCCAACAACTCCACAGGGTCTCCCTGGAGGGCTGCTTGGAGGAGGTGGCCTTTAAGAGTGAGGGCAGTGGTTATCCCACAGGCACTGGGTCTGGACAGGATCTGAGAAGTCATAGCATCAGAGTCAAGCTTCTGAAATACCAGAGTGAAGGGAGGGACTGCCAAGATACCAGGATGGGACCTCCTTTTTCTTGTCTCCTACCCTGCCCAGCCCCCACCCTCTGCCACCAGAGCAACTCAGCCCCCTCTCTTAGAGGCCCTTCTTGGGGGAGAAATTCCCAGACAGACCCTTTAGAAGAGCTGAAACACTCAATATAAATAATTAATGCTAGAGTTTTAAAATTAAATTTTAATACATTCTTATTAATTTTAGACAAACTCCCTGGCAGGTCATTCGCTGTGAATGATTGAGGCAACTGGAGACGTGAGGGATGCCCCCAGCCTCTGGGTGGGAAAGGCCTCTGAGGACTGGGATCCAGGCTCAGCTGGGCTCATCCCCCTGAGCTTTGCTTTCCTCTGGCAGAACGGACCGACCACTGTCCTGCGCGGAAGAAGGACAGTGCTGTGAGCTGCAAGGGGTGCTGGGTGGAGTGTCCTTTTCGTTACTTTTGCCATGCTGACGGTGGACTCCCAGGACTGGAGTAGGGGTTTCATTTCTCAGCCATTAGCCCCGGGAGACAGGGCTCACCTCCTTTGCTGCCCTTTCCCACCCCAAGAGCTTAGCCCAGAGCTAATGAGTGAGCGAGGATCCCTCAGGGTGGATGGAGGAGCACAGGACTTGGGGTGGGTCTGAATCTGCTTGGGGCTGACCCTCCCAACAGACGGCTCCTCCCACCCTGCGTGCTGGCCAGGGGGAGGCCAGGCCTGCTGGGCGCTGTGGGGGGGCGGGGGGGCCTGGAGAAGGGACAGGGCTCCTGTCGGGAACTGGCAACCTGAAGGGAAGCGGCAGGAAAGAGATCCGCAGCCTCGCCATGGTGTTGTGGGATCCAGGCAGGCGCTGCCCGTGTTTATTGAGTGCCTGCTGTGTGCTGGGATCTAGTGCGCTGAGCACGGTGATGGGGACGTGGGAAAGGTGGGCCTGGGGTACATGGGGGGCTCGGGGAAGGCGTGGGCTGCGCTCCCCTTTGTCTAGGGGGAGGAGACCACACCGAGGGGTCCAGGCTCTCGGTCTCAGACAACTTTCAGAGTGTCGGGGGTGTCTGGCTGCCAATCGGCCCCTTGTGGATCCTTTCTTCCGAATTCCTCCCCCTACCCCAGCCCCTTCGCAGCCCGCGGTGCTGACGGGCGGCAGAGCGCGCAGTCCGCTTCCCCCTACCCTCAGACACAGCTTGCAGGTGAGGAAACTGAGGCGGGGGAGTCCCGGGAAGGCCTGCCTGGGCACCCGGGGGTTTGGGGGCCCCGCCTGGCTGAGGCCCCCGGGCCAGGCCTCCCAGCTCGGCGCTGACAGCCGGGCTGCGCCCTCGCCCGGCGGGGCGGTGGGGGAGGCGGCGTGGGGCCCGGACCGGAGAGGAGCGCGCTCCCGGCGGACGCGGCGCGAGGGGCCGGGATGGGCAGTCATCAGTCTTCCCAGGTGTGTCGCGTGGTCCCTGGGCTCAGCCCCCGTCCCCCTTTAATGCCAGTCATGGCTCGGAAAGAAGGGGGAAAGCCCCAGGGAGCGGCATCTCCCGAGTGATGGAGAGCCAGCCCCGTGCCCCCGGCTTCGCGCAGGAAGTGCGATCCCGCCCGGGCCGCTCGCGGTCTCCGTCGCTCGCCGGCGCCCGCAGGGTTAACGGCAACGGGTGGGTACCCCCACCCCACGCGCGGAGGGGCAGCCGGGCTGGGCGGGGAGGGTCTCCGAGCCGCTCACCCTCGGGTCTGCGCAAGCCTGGCTGGGAGCCCCACGGGCAAGTGGGTTGCGCAAGGGTTAATCCCTCGGGCCCGGGAGGGGCGGGCCAGGCCCGGAACCTCAGAATCTGAGGGCAGCGGGGTCCCTATTTGAGGAGTCTGAGGTCCTGAGTGCCATCACCCTCGGATTCTGTGCGTGTCAGGTTCTGCAACCCCGCATGGCCCCCAATTCCAGACCTGAACATTCTCCTACTCGGAGATTCAGAGATTCGGAGATTCCGGGGCTCGGCATCCTCAGGGAGGGAGCGCGGAGCTGGAAGGGTTAACGGGCGGGGCGGCGGGGGGTGCTGTGGGAGCGGCGGGGGCCGCGGCCGAGGGAAGAGTTAACGGACCGAGTTGGGTCTCCCTCTTTCTGGCAAGCTCGGGAGCGCTCCAGGTGTGCCATCCCGAGTCCCCGGTCTGTGCCATCCCGAGTCCCCGGGCCAGCCCCTCCGTCCCCCCACCCCCCGGGGGGCGTAACTACGTGCCGGGGAGCGCGGCGGCCCGGGAGGGCTCACCTGTTACTCGGCAGCTGCCCGGCGCACCTACTGAGTCCCAGGGACCGCAGTTGGGTGGTAGGGACTGGGGTCGCTCGGGCCGGGCTTCCCGCCGTGCGAGCCACGCGGGGGTGCCCTGCCGCCGCGCCGCCTGTGCCCGCGGTGCCCGGCTCCGCCCGGCGCGGCTGCCGAGCGCACCCTCCCGCCTGCTGACCCTCTCGTTTGGTTTCTCGCAGGCCTCTGCCGCAGACATGGAGAAACTCAGGTGAGTGGAGCGTCTTCGTGCCGCGGCTCGCGGGCCGGCCGGGGTGGGGGCGCTGGAGGGCGCGGGGAGAGGGCTGTGCCGGAGCGCTCCTCCGGGGCCGCCGGGCTCGGCCGCGCCTGCCGGGGTGCCGTGCGTGTGCGTGCGTGCGCGGCGAGACAACGGGGAGCCCCCTCGGGGGACTCCTCGGCCCGACAGGGGCCACTGCGGCTGGGAGAGGGGGTGCGCAACCAGGGCTCGGCCGGCCTCCGCGGTCCCGCCTGCCCTGCCCCAGACTCTCGATCGTCCCCCGGGACCCTCCGGGTCTCGCTCCTGCTGTTACACACGGGTCTCGGCACCGGCTAGTCCCCCCGCCCCACAGGAGACAGTTGTCTGGTTTTAAGCTTTTAAGTTTATGCCTCGTGGGGGCGGGGGTGAGGGATGCAGCCCTCGCTGCTGGCCAAGGCAGTCCGGTCTTGGAGCCATTTTGGGGGAATCCCAAGACCGCGCCTGGGTAGTATCACCCCGCTGCCTCCCTCCCGGTGCTAAACTTTGAGCCTGGAGGCACCCTTCTGGGCCTTCGCTGCAGGCCAGGGATCATCGATCTGAATATTCACGACTTCCTCCGAGACTTCCTTGGCCACCCTGACCCCCACTTTGGGAACACCCCTCCGGTGTTTTCCTTCCGGAGTCTGAGCCAAGGCATGGTGTGGGCAGCGCCGGCTCTGGCCGCTGGGTTTCAGCACCGTCAACCTGGTCTACCAGGGTCTGCCCCCCACGCCCCAGGCCAGAATCAGCATGCATGGAGAGGACTCCGGGTAGCAGGTGCCCCCAGTTCCCAAGGGGCAGGGACCAAACAGGGCCCAGGCTTGTTCCAGGGCAGGTTCCTGGGTCTATGGCGAAAGGGGCCAGGGCTTCCCAGGTCTCTTAGTGCTGTGGGTGCCTGGGGACAGGTGGTCCCACACAGAGGCTCCAGACTGGACACCTGAGCAGGGCCATCTCCTGGCCGCTGAGCTGGATGGAGTGCAGCTCTCCCATGGGGGTCCCCCCGGGCCAGGACCCTGGGCTGGGAGCACCGGTCAGACCCAAAACCTAGTATCTGTCCGCTAGGCCCATCTTGTCATGGTCAAGGTCCAGGGGGCCTGGGCCCTCCCAGGTACCCCACCTTGGCTGTCATCTCACCAATACCCCTACCAGGGTTGGGCTCCTATGGGGGAGGGGACAGCTGGGACTTAAGCAGAGATAAGATTCACTGGGTGCCCCTAGGCCAGCCTGGGGGTTGTATGGTTCTCTTTCTCTTTCCTTCCCTCTCCATGAACACCTACCCTCCCTGCCCAAGCCACCGAGGGCACCGGGCATTTCTTCGCCGGGTGGGCGAGGGCTTTCCTGGGCCGAGTCCTGAGGCTGGTGGCAGTGGCCCGGGCCTAGGCTCCTGGGCTCCTGGGCCATGTGGCCTTTCGGCCGAGGCAGAAGCCCGGAGCTGGCAGGACCCAACATGGCCTCACAGAATTGGGGGCGGTCCTGCCTCCTGCTCCCTCTCACCCTGCTCGTGGCCTCAGAGCTGCTTCCAGGGCCTTTCCAGAACATTCCTCCCTGGCTGGCACGGGGGCTGCCCCCTGGAGGGCTCTGTCTTGCACCTGGTGCCAGGGGTCCAGGACCAAGGGACCCAGAGGCACGTAGGGGGAGTTGGTCAGCATGGCCTCTTACCAGGAAGGTCACAGCAGCATTTGGGGGTCCACGGACCCAGTGTCTGAGGAATTCCTGACCTTCTGTGGGCCTCAGTTTCCCCATTTGTAAAGCATTCATCCTAATCACCACCACATGCAGGACTGTTTGGAGGATGACATGAGCTACTATGGCAGACACCCCCCTCCTGGGACCTGGCAGGTGGAGTGTCACCGTGGGGGCATTGGAACCGCAGGACTGAGGGTTCTCTAACAAGAGATGCATTTGCAGTCCAACTGAAGGGATCCTGGAGGGGCCTGGGCCTGGGTCCTGCCTCCCCCCTAGACTGTGGTTTCTGCACATCACAGGCCAGGCCTGGGATCTGAACTGAGAAGGCAGCCACTATGCCCCACCCGCCCACCTCTCCCCTCCCCCACCTCACCCCACCCGGCTTGTGGGAGGGTCCAGGAGATACTTGTTGAATGAGCAAAAGGACTATGCCACTGTGACCCTCAGCAACCCCCTTTGTGGACAGGTACACAGCCGGCTGGGCTCTCCCTGCCCCAGCCCCTCAACCCAGAACCCCCACTGCCACTCCCCACCCCATACCGTGGTCCCCCTTCTGAGTCCCAAACAAGCTGTCACCTTCACGCGGTCGCCCTGGCTCCTGCTGTTCCTCCTGCCCAGAATGCCATTCCACCTGCCTTCTTGTCCACGTGACATGCTGTTTGTCCTCCCTGTCACCTTTTCTCTGTGGCTTTTGTGAGACTCTTGTCCCTCAATCCCAGGTGGACTCGTTCCCTCTCTGTGTACAAAGTTCCACGTTGGGGGCCGACCCAGGCCAGCCTTTCAGAGCAGGGACACAGTCCTATCAACAGACCTGCCAGGGATCCCAGGTCGGGGGCACTGGCCTGGTGAATCAAGGTGGGCTTCCTGGAAGCAAGGACACTTGAGCCCAGAATGGAAAGAGGAATAGGAGTTTACAAGGACAGACAGGATGGGCCTTCCAGGAGGTGCAGGGGCCCGGGGGCTTGAGGAAGCAGGATGTGTTCAGGAAGACAGGCGGGAGTGGGGAGTGAGGTCCCTGGGGCTCTCCTTGCCACCAGGAGTGTCTTCTGCCCGCCCCATTGCGAGCACAGCCTAGGTCTGACCCCTCATTTCTCCAGCCCCAGAGCCTGGCAAGGGCTGGCACACAGCAGGGTGCCCGCGGGTCTGGCCTCCTCTGCTCTAGCCTGGCGCATGCTCCCTGCCCTCGCTCACTCAGCCACCCTGCCTCCGACTGCTTGAAAACCCTTCCAGGGACACTCCAGTGTTTGCAGATATGAGCGAGTCCCCGCCGCCAGCTGCGCCTCTAATCCCCAAGTTAATCCCCTCTCTGCCTTCTCCGCACAAGGTCCCTGCACCTCAACCCGCCGCAGCGGCCACTTTGTCGGCTTCGAGACTCTGGGCCGGCTCCTTCCTCTGTGAGCGGCAGCCCCCCCTCTGTCATAGAGGAAAGCGGGTCAGTCGCCTCGCATGGCACCTGGGACTCGGAAGGAGACCCAGAGCTATTCCTGGCTCAAGTCCACCCCTGCCCTCGAAATAGAATTTTTCAAAGTTGTGAACTGTGATAAGCATGCAGAAAAAGTAGTCAGCCCTGTGAAGTTTAGGACGACCACTTGGTGACCACTGCTCGGGTTAAGCCGAATGCCGCCTGCCCCCCGGGGCACCTCCCAAGACCCTGCCCGAATCACAGCCCCCTCCGCTCCCCGGAGGCCACCGGGGTCCTGACTTCTGTGATGAACTGAACTGTTTTCTTCATGGTTTGGCCTGTAGAGAGCATGCCCGCCCAACTTACTCTCACTTGCCTGGACTAGAACCTCACAAATGTGGAGTCTTTGGGCCGCGGTATTCAGGTGGCCTCTTTTCCACCAAAGCGGCCTGTTTGCACGTGGCTCTTGGTGGCGCGTGGAGCTGTCCACTGATGGCTGTCTTGGGGAACGGCATGTGAGTGAAGTTACTTCCATGCATTTATTCACTGATGGATGACTGGGCAGCTTCCAGCCTGGACCATTGAGAATGAAGCTCACGGGCAGTATTTCGGGGGGGGGGGGGGCTAGAGCAGAACTGCGGGGGCACAGGACAGCTTTAGAAGATAAGGCCACACTCTCCCGGGTGCTCCTCCCAGGAGTACTGGAAGTTCCTATGTCTCCACAGCCTCACAACACTTGACACTTCTGGGGCTGGGCATGGTACAGCTTCCTGGCGGTGGCGTGAAATGCACTTTCCTGGATGGCTGCCCGCGTGGCTTTCCTCTTTTATGGGGTCTGTGTGCAGTTTTCCGTCAGGTTGTCCTACTGATCTGGAGTTCCTCAGACGGTCCTCATCCGTGACACGTGTGGCAAGTGCACCGCCTGCCGTCTGCTTGCTTCTCGCTCTTTAAATGGTCCTCTGATGAACAGGAGTTATTTTTAATCTGTGGAATGTTTTAGGCTTTTACTTTTTTTTTTAATACTCACCCAAGGATGTGTTCATTGATTTTAGAGAGAGAGGAAGGGGGAGAGGGAGAGAAACATCAGTTGGCTGCCTCTCGTATGCACCCTAATAGGGGATGGAACCTGCAATCTACATATTGACATTGATTTTCATGTATGGTTTGAGGGTGGGCTCCTCTTCCCCGCCCCCCACATGAACACCAAGTTCCTGCCTGTACTCTTTGGTTCATTCATATGAGCGATATTTGTTGTTGCGGTCCTGCCCATGCCAGATATTGTTCTCCATGTTGGGGGTACTATGGAGAGATGCCAGGCTGATGTCCTAGAGATAGAGACAGTTGGTTATCAGGTCATCTTACAAATGTAAAATCACATTGACCTCATCTCCCAGGACTCTCCCCTCGCCTGCTCCCCTCTAGCCAGGCCTCCTTGCTGTTCCTCAAATATATCGTACAGGCTCCTGCCCCAGGGCCTTTGCACGTGCTGATCCCTTCTGCCTGAAAGTTCTTCCTCACATATCCACATGACTCCCCTCCTTTCTCAATGTCATGGGGGGGTGCTTTCCTGACCACTTACTCTGTTTATAATTATAACCACCTCCCTCCTTCCCTGCTTTCATTTTCCCTAAGACCCTGATCCCCAATGGACTTGTGGTTTATTTATTTATCTTCTTTATTATCTGCACCACCACCACCCCCCCACACCCCCCGCCCAGAACAGCAGCCCACTGGTGATCTCCCAGGCTTTGAACTGGCACATAATAGATGCTCAGTATATGCTTTTTTTTTTTCTTCTTTTCCTTTTGCGGGTTTTTGTCTGTTTTTTACTTTTGAATTTTTTTTTCCTCTTTCTTTTTTTTTATTTTTTATCCTCACCCGAGGACAT